AAAGGAGTATTAATTACAAGGTCATATATTCCATCACAAATGGCTGCATAGCATCTCAAAGCACGTATTTCAAATCTTTCACATGTGGAACAAATAAAATTCGTCTTCATCTGGAGCCTTCTCGCCCCTGCCCATTGTCTTAGTGATGTCTAAGAATACTAAGAATAGGTCCTCTCTCTATAAAACTAGCTATCTCATTTCCAGGGAAGTGTTAAATATTTTGTTTTAGCTTTGCAGTAAAAGGATATATCTTTGGCTTTACCTGCTTATTCTTAAATTAGATTCACAATTTACTCTTCCTGTCCTGGCTACACTGAAGAACATGAGTTTTCCCAAACGGATCATTCATTTCTTACCAGTTGTGTAAGGGAGGGCATCAGGGACTGACCCCACCAATGTTTTGATTTTGTATGTTCTGTGGACCCACATAAACAAACATACAAAACAAAACATTGGTGGGATGAGTCCTTAAGCCCGCCTTAGGATGTATTAACCATCTGCCTTCATCTGCAAGAGTCTCTCTGTCTGGAAACCATTTCCCTTTCTTCATTGTCCATTCATTTATATCCACTTTTCCTTGAAAATTCTGATCAAATTCCACATTTATGAGGAATTCCCTCACACTCCTACCCCCTCAATATACACAGACTTAGCTGTATTCCCTTTTTCCACTCCTATAATAATATTTCATTGATTAGCTCAATTGGAATTACTTATCTACACTCTCTTACTAGATTTTTGAGTCTTGGCAGTCAGAGTACCTCATTTATTCATCTTTCGATTTGAGGACCTAGTCCAGAACTGCCATGGTAATAGGCACTTAACGTACATTTATAAATAAATAATTGATTGAACTGAACATGCTAAAAAGTGTAAAATTATTCTTAAATTCTGGAAGATGAGACTACACTTCTCCTATGCTGAAGTCAGTATCCGTGACCATAATGATATCCTACTTTTTAAGTTTAATTTTTTTAAAGTTGTTAATGACACTAAAGTAAATCTCACAATTCCTAGTGGAAATAAGAAAAAAATTGGGGGGGAATCTGAATTTATTTCCCAAAATTCATATTTAGTATAGAAATCATCTAAAAAAAGGAAAGTAAAATAAGATTTCCATCTAAATTAGTTCCCAAGACTGCTTTACAAACGAATTATAACTTCGGTTTGTAAAATACCAAGGGCAATTGAAGTTAACTGAATTAAGGGCTGAACATCTTTACTCAACTCTGATTATTTTGGTGAATGACTGGGGGAGGCCTCAGTAAGAGATTCAAATGGACCAGAACACACCCCTGTGCAAACTGTCTAGAAGGGCCCAAATGAAAATTTGCACTCTTTTTAGCTCATTTTAAACTGAGCCAACATTTTTATTTCCCAAACAGAAAAATATAAACCAAATTATAAAATTCCTCATTTATGTTACATAACTTTTCCTGTGTTTATTTGCTTTCTTTCTCATTACTTTTCTGATAACCACCAAGATTGGACTTTCTATTAAGACAATTACAATGATTTCCCTAAGAATGTGCCTGGATGCTTGAAAGAGAGGAAGCAACATTTATGAGTTTCAAAACAGCAGTATTTGAAAACATGTGCATGAAAGAACTCTTGGAAGTATTCTTGGAATTATTATTTTTTTTTTCTACATACTCCACTGGCCCTCTCCAACTTTAAAAAAAAAAAAGCTCTGGGTGGAGTTAAGAATTCTTTTCAAATGTTAAACAATACCTGGATATCCTGAAAATGCATTCTTCTTTATCCAGTCTGAAAACACTTTAAAGTCTCCTCTTTTTTTTTTTTTTTTTGGCTAAGAATAGTTTAGAGATTTACTCAGTGGTTTATGTTTTGAATAGAAAGTGCAGTTTTAACTGCCTGAAATGTAATGAATGCCATCTGTGTTTATTTTCCCTTCCAAAATACAATTCTCCTTTTTCCAAATATAACATGTACATGCTCCTAATAACCCAAATAAATGTTAACAACTCAACTAATTCTTTATTTTAGCCAATGGTGAAACTGGAGATCTAAAACATGTACTATAAAAAATGTGAACTTCATTGCAAAAACAGGGTATAAATTATATAAAACTCATTTATAAATTCAAAAATTCTTAAATATTCTGATAAATAAAGAATCATGTGTTTTCTATACATTCACCAGGGTGGAGGTTGCTATGGAGTAAAAAACAGGTGTTCAATGCACACCAGAATGTAGTCAGTGCACAGATAAATGGACCAGAAACCAAGGACCACAGAATCACCTTGACCTCATTTTTCCAAAAATAAACCACCTGCTGGGCCCCTCATACCTCTATCCAGAAGAGCAGCATCTGGCACATGGAGACCACTTGAAAATCAAATTTAAATTTATTAATAATTATTTTAAATTACAGTAGAATCTCCAGAGACCAGCTCCCCATATTGACCATCTCCTTAAGTTGAGCTATTTTTCACAGACTGGACATGCATGTCATGTACATATCAGGGAAGTAGGCCTAGTTCCTTATGTTGACCAACTCCATATGTTGACCAGTTTGTTACAGCCCTTGGGTGGTCAACCCACAGAGGTTCTACTGTGCTTTAAATACACTTACTATAAAGGGATATATAGCTGTAACATCATTATATATTTATACTTGGGCTGATAAATTTCTGCAAAAGTCATTCTGACAGTTTTCTAATGTAGGAAGTGGACTTAATTTCTTTTCTAACCAAATCATCCAAGAAGAAAAATTAAACATTTTATTTAGAATTTATTTGCATTTCAAAGAATGTGTAAAATCATACATTATTTTTTATAACGGCTTGACATTTCTTTTATAGCTATCATGGTCCTCAAGAGCACACTAACATATGATTTTTTTTGTCTGTATTCAGAGAGACATATTCTCTGACAGACATTAGCCCCGATGTTTATTCTAGAAAGTTTACTTGGTGCCAGGTTTTCTATTCTCAGGAAATTGAGGATATGTTATAAGCCGTCTCAATGGACACGTCCCTAAAATAGCCAGGCACGTATGACTTAGCTACTAGTATTTCCTGTTTCCATCTGAGCCTTCATAGGACACGAGTTAGGTAGAATTGTTTAGGAACAGACCATTTCCTGAATCATTGTGATACTCCTTTGAAAAGCAAAAACAGAAGAGCACAGAGGCTAGATTGCTGCTGCTATCTGGAAGACATGGGAATTTTAATTCAAGAAATTCTTCTATTTCTAAATCTTTTTTTTTTTTTTTGCAGTTTTTTTGGCCTGGGCTGGGTTTGAACCTGCCACCTCCAGCATATGGGACCCGCACCCTACTCTTTTGAGCCACAGGCACTGCCCTAATTCTCTATCTTTTATTTCTCAAGTGTGCGTTCCTCTCTGGAGCAACTGACAGGTGCTTACTTTTCCTGACATACAACGCTCAAGGCAGGTCCCACTTCTCATTTCCCTTTGCCCAGGAGCAGCTCTAAAATAAATTCATAATTTGTTCTGGGGAAATGCTTAACACATCCCACACGTATGTATTTCTTTTTTGTAAATGTACTTTGCTCTTTATGACTTTACATTATTTACATCTAGCTTTTCTGGGCTCTAAACTCATTTCCTGAAGTTGTCTTGTATGTGTCATGTGAGAACAGACATTTCACATCTCAACTGTGTCTTCATAGCTCTCTTTTCTCCGACATCGACTGGATATGTTAATACATGATGGCAAAATAAAACTGACCATAATTAAATAACCAATTCTGATTTACAAATTTTCAATTAAGAAGATGTCATTGAAATTGTTAAAATATTACTAATCAAATGATTGCTATTTTACTATTAGTAAAACATTATAATATACAAAAGTAAACAACAAAAGAATACTTACTTTCACTAACAAAGGCAAGTTTTTGCATATTAATTTGCACATCTTGTCAAATAACATAGTACATTAGAAAGTGATAAGTGTTTAATATCTCTTGTACAGATTTTAAGTAAATAACCAATCTTAAAATCTCTTGCCTTGGTACTCTTTGAAAATATAAGTGGATAAAGGAAAGAACATGGATATTGCCAAATGGGACTAATACTCACGAGAGGATATTCCCAATGTAAGCATAGTAGGAGCAACAGTAGGGCGTGGTTCCATCACAGCAGTAAGATCTGCATTCATTGCCACATTGAGCAAGGCAATCTACAAAATAGGCAGTTAAGGCATCAGGAAAAATCATTCTATTTGACATCCTTGTTAGCCAATGGCCACTCTTTAGTACCTTCATTTTAAAACAAGGGTTTAAATTAGACTCTTTCCCCCACTTTAAGGTGGTAAAGGCAAAGACCATTCTTCTTGAATCTTTTGTACCAAGAACGGGCATTGGCAATTAGGGTTGGTTGAATAAGGTAATCAAAGAAAGGAGGAAAGAATAATTCAATAGTCAGGCACTAAATTAGTCAGTAAAATTTTTACAATACGTTTCAAATTACAAAGTCTTCCGACTTTAGGATATGATAGTTTCAAGTAACCTCAATTAATGGAAGGGGTTCTTGACATGGATAATAAGAAATTAGGATAATTTCAAAATAATGCATATCTTCCATGACAATGCATTGTAAGCTTTTTTTCATATCACTTTTTACCTTCACAATTACAGCTGGCATACATACAGTAACATAAATCAGTCTGCACCTTTTCCATCTTTGGACTGGAAGAAGATGCGTGTGTTACCAGAAGAAGTTCCCATAGGTAATTCATTTGTGAGTACTTAAGAGTTCAATTAATGTTAGATTGAAGACTCAATAACCTATCAAAGAGCACTAGGAGAAGGAGGCGGAGTTATTTTTGGATTTACAGGATTTGTTGGAAGAAGCAAAACTAAATTACTATTTTTCTATATATTTTTCAGCAAGAAAAATTATACCAAAAATGTTGGAAAAAGTTACCCTAACTTTCAAAATTCTTTATTCCACCTAAAGGATTTATGTTTCATTGGATTATAATCAGTAGTACAAATTACTAGAGATATGTCTGTTTCAGGGATATGATTAGGAAAACATTAAGTATAGCCCAAAGATTTGCTGTATGTTTAAGCATCACAAAATAAATAATTTTCAACTCAATTCCTGAAGGTAATATCAACTACTGTATAAACTTTATCAAAGTGTTACTTTCCTATCAAAATTATCACAGAGTGACAAAGTGAGACTCTGCCTCAACATAATTATCATAGTAAAAGTACAAACTATCATATTTATGTCAACATATGATATAATTGATTTATCTAAAGGGGAAATTTTACATTATTTTTAAATCACCTCCCTGCCAAGATGATTCTTTATAAATGGAGGTGATAAAAAGGTAGCAGAATTTATGTACCTTTACCAGTAATGCATGGCTTTCATGAAAGAAGTGAAAAAGTTCACGTTTTTATTCCCTCAATTTTATTTCTATATCACAGATTGATAAACACGACCCTGCAGGTTTCCTTCTGGGTGATAGTAAGAAGGGGAAAATAATTACCTTTGCAAGATTTAGTAACTCTAGTAAATCAACTTTTAGCAGAAACACAATCTCATGATTTAGATCCAAGGGAGAAGAACAATCTACTGACAATAAATGCTTTTGAAGAGCACATCATACTTTTTAAGGCTGCTCATTTTTTCTCAGTGAAAAAATGCCTTTTGAATGATGCCCAGGACAATGACAGTTTATTAAGCTCTCCATGAATATCAAAGATTCAATTACTGCTTATTATATTCCAGTGACTATTATTATAAGGACAGGATGTTACCAAAATAATTTGAGCCAATGTTACAGGTAAGCCCAAACTCTTATAGCCAAATAGCTGGAGTATACCTGCGGAAAATGTCCAGATCATGCCATGCATTGGTCATGATTTCTAAGATATTTTGCAGTGCTCTTGTCTACTTCCCAGAATTAAGCAACCAAAAATGAGAGATTTAACAGCACGGCAAATATGTTGGCAATCGTATTTCCAAACTGAGGTTTCCATCACACCTTATTTCATTATGTTACTTACTTCCTCTGGCTTGTTTGAGAATAACGCTATCAGACTTGGCCCATAGAGGAGCCCATATATTTTGGCCCTTTTTCTCACTTGACAAAGAATAGAATATTCAAATGTGTCCTCAGAAAATACTTCTATGATAATATTCAAGTTAATATTCCCTGAAAATTAGCCAGCTCAAACCTTCTTCAATGACTTTTTACTGAAAGTCATAATCTACAACAGCATTTCCAATCCACTCCTGCCCCCCATCTTAGGGAATGTGTAGAACAGGAAAAGTAATATCTGGCTTAAAGCACTTGCTTAGAAATGGATCTCGCAAGCCATAGCTAAGATAAGAGAGGAAGGAAAGGGAGGGGACAGAAGTTACTGGCTAAGTCCCCCGGAAGGTAAAACCTTGACTGGATCCTGTCTTTGTAACTTGCAGTGGGAGTTGGATGATAATATCAACACTTCACTGGGTCTCTTTCCAAAAGTGCCTCCATAGTAAAACATGATGCTTTAGGTGTGGAAAGCTTGCTCGTATTTGATTAACCAAATGGAATGTGAACTTATTGCATTTGTTGTGGGGATAATAATTCAGGTCATGAATAGTGCATCTACTCAAGTTTTTGTCCTGTAAAGCAACAATTCATTTAACAAGGTATCTAAACTATTTTTTATTTTTATGGTGTTCCAGCATCTAACCCTGATCTTCACTTCCAGCCATATCTCTTAGTTCCAACCAAGCTGAAATATCCATTGTTGCATCTATGTATCTCATGATTTTTGCCTTGGTTCATGCTGCGTCTGACTCTTTTGGGCTTCCCTGTATCTCAAAGATCTAGTTCCTTCAAGTCCTGCTCAATTTAGTTTTCCTTTAGTTTTATTTATTGATCTCCATTTTGCTGCATAAAATAGACATTTCCCTCATGGAGCTTACTCTCCTAATCCAGCAATAAGGTCCTCTCCTTTGACTACCTACAAAACATGATTTTACCTCTCCTGTGGCACAGCCTTTTATGCATTAATTTATGGGCACGCCTTATTTCCCGCAGAAGACTTAGAACATGACCTTTGTTCTAGGTATCACTTAACAGACCTTGTGCAATAAATACTAGTTAGTTGCACGAATATGAAAAGCATAAAAAAGCCTCTGAAATAAGAAGTCCAATAATTAACACCCAAGAACATATTAGCTACACATTTCTTACCAAAGACAACGTAAGTCAATCTAGTATTGGCTTGGCAACTACCGTGTAGCCTACTAGGGAAAGATGTGAAAGAATAGGAATGAATGGAGTGAAAACCTTCTAAACTACCCACGGCTGGGGCTGGCCAGCTTTGCTGGTTTCCTGAGCCCTGGGGAGTTGGGCACCACCGAGAACTGTGGAAACAGGAGGAAGGAACGGACAGGTGTGTAAAGTAGAAGCTTTCAGTTTACCATAGGGAATAAAATAGACTAAAACAACAAAAAACAAAGTGGTTGAATAAGATTGAGTGAGTGAAGGTATTAAAACTTCATTTCCTTTCTTCTGTTTTCTTATTTTTTGTTTTCTTTTGTTGATCAGAGGTAGTGTGAAGAGTCAGCAGCAGGAAGCTGCAGGCCAGGACAGATGGACAGACAGACTAGAGAGAGGCTAAGAGGAAAGGGGTGGCCTGGAGCCAGGAGAGGAGTGTGAAGATGGAGGGTTTAAAACGACCAACTAATGAGGAGATGCTTAACAATATAAAACTAATGTTTGATGCAGTTGATTCCTTTAGTCCCTCAAATGCTGAAAACCTTATATAGATTTAAGTAAAAAAAGAAAATACTGTAGACAGATTAGAAGGTGGACTCCTTAAACAGGAAAATTTTTGTGAATTTCTGCATTAGAAAGTCAGATTAAAATATGTTTAAAATGATAACTCCTAGACAGGTGCAAATTTGCATTTCAATAAACAGACTGAAAATTTCTTTAGAAGTTAAGGTAACTCCTTTCCGGCAAGGTTGAAGGAGAAATTCAATCCTTTTGATGTTCAGGTAAAAATGAGCACAAACATCTTCATTTTAATTGCAGTATCTTTTTGTGTATCAAAAGGTAAATTGCAGGGCTACACGTACATTTAGTATTGCAAGGTCAGGGGTAAGCTTGTGATTTTTGTCGCATGAATTTAAAGACATGAAAATATTTTACAAAGAACTTTGCTTTTAGCTTGCACTGTTTTGTGAATAGAAACAGACGCAAAAAACACATGTGCAATTAACTTTCTACCTGAATAATCAATAAAAGTGCATTTTAGGCTCCCTATTAATCACAGAACAAGAAAGCCCACTTGCTTCATTAATTATTAGCGGTTCTCACTAAGAATAATTGGGGGGGGG